CAATTTGGTTGTGAGGTAACTTACGGTTTATGGGTACAAAAGCTTCAACAGAGTGTGAACAATTCCCAGTGTCATTATGGGGCAGACAATAAAGGAAGAATCCCTGATCCTTTGAATCTCAGTTCAAACATCACTGCCTACCCCATTTCCTGCTCCCACTGGAATTACTATAAATCAATTCCAATGACCTCCCACAACACTTGCCTGCTGTCTTTTATAGCATATACAGCTTTCTTCCTTAGTATATTTATACATTTTATCTTCTCTATTATACATTTCCTACATATCCCCCAAATTGCTTGCAATAACAAATACTCGTGAAATCAATGATTCTCCAGAACAACGGCTTTCAGATTTTTTACTATAATGCACAGGCAAGAAATACTTTATATTGTGACATAGTATACTACACATATAAATATACTACATATGTAAATAACACGTGTTGCACAAAATACATGTTCTAACCAAATGAGATGCACTCTGATATACTCTAGTCTTTTCTATTTTACTTTATTTCTTTCTTTTAATAATGACAGCACTGACTATATTGATTATGCCCCTCTAATGAGTCCTGCCTTACAGTCTGAAATAGTGTCCCAGGAAAGTTATTTTAAAAGAAAAAAAAAAAAAAAAAGAAAAGGTCTATTTTCCAAAATTTATTTTATAGATAGTCTCTCCAAAGTTACTTCCAATCTACTTTGTCCATGTCTTTCTATAGATGCTGAAAAGCTAAATATTTATCTTCCTATATCCCCCACAGCTACACACAGCCATGACCTATTTCTGGCCAATGAAATGTAAGCAGAAGTCACTGACATGTCTTCTAGGAAAGTTTTTTTAAAACGGGCCAGATTCTTCCGGCATGCCCTTCAACCCTGTGCCTTTCTTTCCCTTCTTCTTGCATGAAAAGTGGAGGTGATGCCATTCCTCCTTGCAGGCCCAGTTCTTATGCTTGCCGATAGGTGCCTGTATTACAATAGGTGCATATATAGCACCTATTGACAAGCACAATAATAGAACCAGGCCTACGCGGAGCAATGGAGGCACAGAAAAAGCCTAAACCTTGATGACATCATTGAGCCACCAGATCAGCCATGAGTTGTGTACCCCAGACACTTTACATGTAAGACAGATAAAGTCCTTACTTGCTCAAGTCACTGTAAGTTTTTGGTTACTTATGACGAACATACTCCAAATTAATTCTATATATCATTAATATTTTTAAGTCAATTATCCTTCACAGGAAGGATAAAAATTTTTTAAAAAGGAAGACTGCCTTTTCTGAGATTAATCATGGAGGACCTCAAATGCTTTTATTTACACAAAAAAGCTTTGGAGATCTCCAGTATAGAAAATGCTTCTAGTGATTGCTCCAGACAAAATAATTCTTTTTGTAATTATTGATAATAATTCAATTTCATCCATGGGCATAGTGCTAGTCACTGAGGACACCACTAAGTATAGAACCCAACTCCTATCTCCAAAAGGTTTTACGATCTGGTGGGAGAAGAAAAAACATATCAGATTTGTCCAATACTATGGGATAAATGCTATGATAAAGTGCTGTCAGGCCACTGAGATGACATAGAATGTCATAGGCAACAAAAACTAACAGATTTTGCTCAATCATCTTAGCTCCCTCATTTCCCCTCTACAAATACATTTAAAAGATTATTTTTCAAGTGGAACAATGTGGAGAAATATCTTCACACAGCCACCAATGGAATCCTTTTATAATTGCTAAAAATGTCCCATAGAAAAGAAGTTCCTTTTTTTCAATTAAATTTCCAAACAGCTTTTTGCAAACTAGGAAAAAGGTTTACTGCCTATCATTAGACATCACATTTATTTTGCTTTTGTCAGTTAAACTGGTGCAATTGTGGGTGTTAACTGACTTTTCTAATTTAGCACTTTGAAAAGATCCACACACAAATATAACTGATATTTTTAGTCAGCAATACACAATAATAGAACAATAAACAGTAGACTACAACAATAAGACAGGAAATTGTGTCAAATTTTAAAAAGATGAAGACAGAAAATCAATAATGAAGAATTTTTATTCACACAGTGACTAACTGAATCAAGCTATTAGAGCAAAGTCCATATTAAGGTCACAGTGACCTCAATACAGTGGTTTAACATTACAACCAGATTTTTTGAACAGATAGGCCTACTTAAGTCTATCTGGGATTCTTTTTTTTTTTTTTTTCCAGTTTTAAAACACCTTTTGTCACAGTGATTATATTTTCAAACCAAAAATTAATGAAGTCTAATTGTTGAAATTGAAACTAACCTAAAAAACCAACAATGTGACGGAGTAGGACCCGTTAGGGGCCTGTGGGCCCCTCCAAGCATAGCAATAAAGGAAAATGTTTGTTGAGAAATGTTAAGTTGTTGAGAAATGTGAAGTGTATGAATACTGAGAAATGCTGAGTGCATGATAGAATATATTGTTTGCTAAGAAGAACGATGGCAAGGAAAACCTAGCCCCTCCCCCAAGCTGAAAACTACTTGGGGCATTCCAAAGTGGCAGGACAATATATAAATATCATAGACAGGTTGAAACAATTCTTTAAGATAGTTGAGACACTGCCCTTGTGGCTCCCTCATGAAGGATGCTTTTTAGTTTGTCTGTGATCAGTGGTAAGTGGGCATCAGCTGCCTACTTGGCATATTTTGCGTTATGAGAAAATACCGAACATCTGTTTGTTAATAATGATCATCTGTTCAGAGAGAATAAATGTGTGGGTCAGAGTCTACTTGGGGCCCTTCAACCAAGGAATGCTGTCAGCCCCTGAGGCTTTCAGTTCAGAAGGCTGCTGGCCCCTGGATAGACCCACTTTACTGTTCTATCTGGGTGTTTGTCTCTCAGTTCTTTCAGCACCGCCTGGGTGGGGGTCTCTACGGCCGAGCTGGGTCTCGGTAAATGCTGAATTCCTTGAAGAGAAATTCCAGGCACCGAGCCAGCCTTGAAAAGTAAATGGACAACCTGATAAGCAAAAAGGTCATAGTAACTTAAAACAATAGCCAAGGAGAGCCAGGGAATGTTCTGGGCCCCATAGAAACTAAAGATAACATCTTATTATAACATATGTCCTTGAGCTGATTTTCAGAAACCCAGGTGTGCTGGCAGTGGAACTCAGATAGGGGGAGCTGAGGGATGAACTGAATGCTGTTCTTTCTTCCAAATTTCTTCCTCAGGAGCCTGGAAGTGGTCCCACCATCATCCAAAGCTAGTATTCTTTTCTGCTAATCCCAAATCTTTAGACAATGCCTCCTCAACCAATTGCAAATCCAAAAATCTTTGAATCCATCTATGACCTGTGGGCTGCCATCTCCCTTCCCCTGCTTAGAGATGTTCCACCTTTGAGTCCAAACAACCTACAGCTTCCACGTATAGATTTTTGACTTTGCCTGTAAACTCTGCCTCCCCACCTTAAAAAATCCTTACCTAAAAGCCACCTAGGAGTTAGAGTCTTAAGCATGAGCTATCCAATTCTCCTCGCTTGGTGCCCTGCAGTAACTTTCTCTCCATGTTACCCAGATATCAGCATTTGGCTGTGCTGCACAGAGCAAGCAGAATTCAGTTTGATTCGACAAATCATAGCCCAATACCAACAGCCACCATGCCTGACTCCCACCTAGCCAGAAGACATGGGTGAGAAAGAGTAAAGAACTGAATCAAAGATTTCAAGCAGTATTGTTTAAGTGCAATTTCTACTTTAGCTCATGAGTGTCTTTTATCTCAAAGAAAAAAGGATTTTGAAAAGGTCTGAAAACCAGGACAGTTGGCAAATTGTAATGTATGCGTGCATGATCGCGTTTTCTCTAACTATACGTCCTTCTGGTACTTTTATACCTTTTTCTCCCCTCTCAGGGTTACCACGTAAGAACCATAAATAATTCGCATCTTAGGGTGAATTTAATATTTCCAACTTTTCAGGCCGGGCGCACTGGTTCACACCTGAAATCCCAGCACTTTGGGAGGCTGAGGCAGGGCGGATCACTTGAGGTCAACTTGAGACCAGCTGGCCAACTGGCGAAACCTCATCTCTAAAAAAATACAAAAAAAATTTAGCCAAGCATGGTGGCGGGTGCCTGTAATCCCAGCTACTTGGGAGGCTGAAACGGGAGACATCACTTGAACCCAGGGGACAGAGGTTGCAGCAGGCCGAGATCACACCACTGCACTCCAGCCTGGGAGACAGAGCAAGACTTTGTCTCAAAAATACATATATATTTTAAACTTTTCAAATGACTTACATTTGGGAGGTTCATTTTCACTTTTACTTACTTTCCCTTTTTTATATGTATGTTTCCTAAACACCAAAGTTATATAAACATATAAAGAATCAAGTAGTTCTATTTGGCTCATTACATGAAACAGCTGTGCCCTCCTCATCCCCATTTTTCCCACTTCCCACAGGCAACCACGTTCACATCTTTCAGTGGTTTCTTTTGACAATGACCTCCATATCTTCAAATGCAATGCCGTATGCTACTCGTGATTTTTTAGTAATAAAGGTTTATTATATTTTGACTTCTTACTGTGGAAGCTACCCACCCCTTTCCACACCCACACTTCCTACCCTCCCGCTAGTCGCTCCATCATTTTGCACGGTTCTATATTCAGTGTTCACATCATTACTACATAAATGCTGCTTACCACTAAGCCATGAGGTATACTATTTTCCTTTTCTTTTTAAATTTTTTTTGTTTAATCGCTTACTCTGAGAAGCATATTTTTCTTTTCTTGAACAACTCATCTTTCCACCCAAACTGCACCCTGAGTGACTAATTGTTTCAGTTCCTTTTTTTTATGTATCCAACACTGATTATCTTCAAAATTCTTTACAAATTGTTTAAATCTTCCACTGAATTTCACTGGACGCAGCGGCTGACGCCTGTAGTCCCAGCACTTTGGGAGGCTGAGGCAGGTGCATCACTTGCGGCTAGGAGTTCGAGACCAGCCTGGCCAACATGGTAATACCCCATCTCTACCAAAAATACAAAAAATAGCAAGGTGTGGTGGCGAGTGCCTGTATTCCCAGCTACTCAGGAGGTTGAGGCACAAGAATTGTTTGAACTTGGGAGGCAGAGGTTGTAGTGAGCCAAGATTGTACCACTGCACTCCAGCCTGGGTGACAGAATGAGACCTTGTCTAAAAAAAAAATAAAAAAATAAAAAAAAGAACAACAACAACAAAAAAATATATATATATAGTACTGAATTAAATCAAGAATTCTGTCAATTTCATCTTCTTGAAGACATGGCCCTTGAAGACTCCTAGTATTCTCAAATTTGGACTATCCTGCTTCAGTCTAAGCCTACTTAAAAGCTACCATCTTGAGATTCTCCTTCACCATCATCCTGGGGATGTCCTTCACCTCACTTTCATGCTAAATGCACTATTTCCTGGTTTCCATATTTTCCTCTTTTTCTTTCTTTTTTTGACATCCCTACTTTGATGAGGCATATTCTCTAGAAAGTTCCTGTGAAGTAAAATTTTTGTGACCCTGAATATGTGAAAACATATTTCTTCCACCCTCATACACATTTGTCTAAAGACAGAATTTTCGGATGAAAATACTTCCCTTAGATTGAAGGCACTGCTCCATTTTCTTACTATATTTTTCTTTTTTGTGTGTGTTTGCTAGTTTTTTGAGATGGAGTTTTGCTCTGTCACCAGGCTGGCGTGTAATGGTACAATCTTGGCTTACTACAACCTCTGCTTCAAGTGATTCTCTTGCCTCAGCCTCCTGCGTAGCTAGGACTACAGGCACATGCCACTAAGCCCAGCTAATTTTTGTAGTTTTAGTAGAGACGGGGTGTCACCATGTTCGCCAGAATGGTCTGGATCTCTTGACCTCGTGATGCACCCGCCTCAGCCTCAAAAAGTGTTGGGATTACAGGCATAAGACACCGTGCCCAGCCCTTACTATATTTTTCTACTGCCTTCTTGTGACTATGTGTTTCAAGTGTTGTCAAGAAGTTTGATGCCTTTGATTCTTAACTTTGGGTATGTAACCTGTTTTGCCCCCTTTTTTCTGAAAGCTTTAAGAAGCTTTTCTTTATCCCAAATATTTTTCAATGTTACACCAGGAAGCTTCAGGATGGGTGGATCCTTCTGCATCTACTACGCTGAGTGTTCAATGGGCCTTTTCAATAAGGAGATGCATGCCCTTACAGTTTTCTGACATTTTCTTGAATTATTTATTTGATGACTTACTCTCTCCCATTTGTCCCTCTCTGTGGAGTTCCCATTATTTGAATGTTGGGCCTCATAGAATGATAGCCTAATTTTCTTATATTTTCCCTCTCGTCTTTTTTTTTTTTTTTCTCTACTTGGTAAGAGGTTTCCTCAACTGTATCTTCTAAACCCTTCATTATTTTTTTCATTTACCTATGGATTTTTAATGTTTTTATATTTAATTTTTAAATAATTTTAAATTTACAAAAAGCTTGCAGAAATTTTACAGAGTTCACATATTCCTTTCACTCAGCCTTTCGTAATGTTAACCTATATAACCATAATACAATGATAAAAACCAATAAATTAACATTTTAGGTCTGTGAACTACAGACCTATTCAAATTTTGACAGTTTTTCCCCTAATAACCCTTTTCTGCTCTGAGATCCAAGCCAGTATCCCACATTGATTTAAGCTTCTATGGCCCCTTGGTGTCCTCCAACCTGTGACAGGTCCTCCTTACTTTTATGATCTTGACACTTTGGATGAGTACTAGTCAATCATAGTATTTTACATTCTTTCAATTTGAATTTGTCTGATGTTTTCTCATGCACAGACTGAGGTGTGTGCATTTCGAGGAAAATATCAGCAAAGTGATGTTGTGTCCTTCACAGTGTCATATCAGGGGTAGAAATAATATACGATTATACTGGTGGTAGTGTTAATCACTTGTTTAAAGTGGTGTCTGCCATGTTTCTCCACTGTAAAAACAATATTTACTGTATTTTTTCCCTTTGTAACTGAAGAGAGGCAGCCGGCAGGCAGGGAACTAACTAGCCATTCTGACAAAAGTAACTGCTCTGGATTAACTAGTTACTGGGGGGGTTTTATTTTTGTCATTGCTGTTTTTTGAGTGGAGTCTTGCACTGCCACCCAGGCTGGAGTGCAGTGGCAGGATCGCAGCTCACTGCAACCTCCACCTCCCAGGTTCAAGCGATTCTCCTGCCTCAGCCTCCAGAGTAGCTGGGATTACAGGCGCCCGCCACCATGCCCGGCTAATTTTTTTGTATTTTTAGTAGAGACAGGATCTCACTATGTCAGCCAGGCTAGTTTCAAACACCTGACCTCGTAATCCACCCGCCTCAGCCTCCCAAAGTACTGGGATTACAGGCATGAGCCACCGTGCCTGGCCACTAATTACTGTTTTTCATGTATCCCCTCTAAAACACCATTCCAAAACGGGCTCTTTTCCCTCCAAAAACTGCAAAAATGAGTAGTTCTCCAGGGCAACAGGAAGCCCCACATGCTTAGATCTAATGTAGTCTGGGATCTACGTACACACTGTTGATGCACACGGTCCCTTTTGTTAAAGAGGAAATAAAAATGTTGCAAGCAACTAGCAATGGCCTGTGTGAATCCCAACTTGGACAGAAATGCAGGTACCTTTCTGTGGATTAAGGGATTGATACACAAATGTGTCTGCTCCACAACCTGTAGCATTTTCTCCATATGAATCAACACATTCTGTCCTTGCCCACCAGCAATAAATGCCCATCTCAGCCAGGACAACCAAGTGCATTCTCCTTCCCTAAGGTAAAATGAAGATCTGGGTTGGATAATCTGAAGGAGCAGCTCTACCTTGGAAACTTGAAAAGGACAGCTCATTGCCACTCTATGGGGTAGCCCTGAAAAGACCTGAAATCCCAAAGCTTTGGGAGGCCGGGGCAGGAGGATCACTTGAGGCCAGGACTTAAGGAGCATCCTGGGTAACACTGCAAGACTCCATCTCTACAAAAGAAAAATGTTTTTAAATTAGCTGAATGTGGTGGCACATGCCCATAGCCCTGGCTACTAAGTAGGCTTAGTGGGGAGGATCGATTGAGTCAAGGAGCTTGAGGCTACAGTGAGCTATGATCGCATCACTGCACTCCAGCATGGGTAGCAGAGAAAGACCCCGTCTCTTAAAAATAAATAAATAAATAAAAATGTCCACTGCCTCCAATAGATGTTCATGTGCACACTGGCAAGTTTTATCAATTATTTTTGGTGCCACCTACGGCACTATTAACAGAAGTTGTATAGCCTTAGCATGAAAACAGAGCTCGGCCTTCAATACACCTTGTGCTTTTCTAGTAAATATATTTGTGCTTTTCCACCATGACAATGATCACAGCTCAATGGTGTTCATTAACTAGCCTCACGTTCTTGTACAACCCAAATGAGATCGATTATTAAAGTATTAATAAAACTATTACAGAGGAACCAAGGAAAAAGAGGAAAAAGAATAATGATTTCCCTCACAGTGCTCAGATAAGCTGGCCTGCTCTTGGCTTTAGGGAACTATGTGACCTGCTCTGACTATAAAACAGCTTTCGTATGGCCGATGAAAAAATTTCCACATAGCTAACAGTGAAAGGGATTGTAGACTGGAATAAATCAATCTTGCCAGCCTTGGAACTTTCCGAATATACTATTTAGATTGACAGTGACAGAAGGCCAAGAAAAATCACAATCTCCTTCAATAAGGATGAGTGCTTTTAAACACTAGCAGTCTCCAGAGTTTATTTTTATAACTCTTTAGAGTAGGAACGACGCTTGAGACTTGAACCCTGTGTCTTCTCTTACTGTGCTCTTTCAGTTATTTACGGTTTATAATTCAGAGTCTCCCTAGGGCCACTTCCGCCTCATGCAGATGTCTAAAGGGGAGGATTCAGCTTGAAGATGTGTGGCCTGGGGACAAATCAGATTATAAAGAGTTTTAAAAAGTCGAGAAGTCTGGACTTAGAGTTGGCCTCATCAGGGCCCCTGACTGGGAACCAACGAAGGATACCGCCCAGCAAAATGCCTTATGCATCCTTTCACCTGGGCCTAGAAGTCCTTCAACAGGAGACTAAGCTACAGTACAGTGGCTTCAATACACACCCAGACACTCTGCTGAAAGCAGGTTTTAATGGAGACAGAGCTTGGGGATGGAAAAAGGTCACAAAAGGGATTACTTAGAGAAACAAACAAACAAAAAAATCCATTTCTCAACTTTGCCAAAGGCCAGCTCCAACCCAAAGCTCAGAAAGAAGCAATTACATTTTACAGGAATAAATTTGCAGAACAGCAAGAGCAGAAAAAAATGTAATAAACACCCAAAGAACATCATAGATATTCCACAGTTAGAATCATATTCCAGCTAATCTGTGGACTCAATAAATTTTGATAAAAAACAATGGTATTAAAGGTCAGAAAGGATGCTGCCTCCACCTGAAAAAGACAATTAGGTTTGTTGCACTGAAAGGTGTCAGATAATAATAATAGCAACATAAATAACAACAAACAGCACTTAACATGGAGCTTATAATATAGGAGGCAAATTCTAAACCTATAAACTAATTTATGAAACCTCATTAACCCTCATACAACCATAAGATAGGTCCCTAAATTACAGATTAGTATATCTATAAATATGTCTCATTCTGTTGCTCACGCTGGAGCACAGGTGCATGATCAGGGCTCACTGTAGCCTCAGCCTCCTGTCCTCAAGCAATCCTTCCACCTCAACCTCCGAGGAGCTGGGTCTACAAATGTATGCTACTGTGCTTGGCTAATTTTTCCATTTTCTGTAGAGACAGGGTTTCACCATGCTGCCCAGGCTGGTCTCAAACTCCTGGCCTCAAGTGATCCACCCACCTTGGCCTCCCACAGTGCTGGGATTATAAGCGTGGGCCACTTTGCCCTGCCAGAAAACATTATTTCATTAAAAATGAGAACAGATTTGAATTTATACTTTGCAGATTAAACAACTTAGCTTCATTGAATTTGTTATTTTTACTCAAAACTAGAAATAACTGGATGTTTTTAATTACTGTAAAGAGTCATTTGAAAGATCAATAATATTCTACAGGCAAGTATTTTCTGTTTGATAGCAAAATAATTATACTTACTAGGGGGCAGGTAAGTTTTTTTGTTTGTTTGTTTGTTTTGTTTTTGAGACGGAGTCTCACTCTTGCCGAGGCTGGAATGCAGTGACACAATCTCGGCTCACTGCAACCTCTGCCTCCCAGATTCAAGCGATTCTCCTGCCTCAGCCTCCCGAGTAGCTGGGATTACAGGCACCTGCCACGACACCCAGCTAATTTTTTGTATTTTTTAGTAGAGACGGGGTTTCGCCATGTTGGCCAGGCTGGTCTTGAACTCTTTGACCTCAGGTGATCCACCTGCCTCAGCCTCCCAAAGTGCTGCAATTACAGGCATGAGCCACCACACCCAGCTGGTAGTTTTATTTAATTAGCTTTAAAGCTCCTGTTCAGCATTCCTGCAACACCATAGGTGCTCTTTGCTTTCAGGGAAAGCACAGAGCTCATGGAGCACAACCCACTGTGAACCTGCGGTTCCCAAGGTGGGAAGCAATATGAAGGCCTAGAAGTTCTAAACTCCCTGACTAAAAAAATAAATGCCAAAGCTAAACAGAAAATGTGACAATTCATTATCCTCCATCTTAAAAACGTGTATTTGCTGCCTGTTGCTAAGTGAACAATCCAGAGACAATTTGTCTCTTTTTAGTTTTATTTTTTGTTTTTTGTGTTTTTTGAGACAGGATCTCTCTCTGTCACCCAGGCTGAAGTGCAGTGGTGCAATCATGGTTCACTGCAGTCTTGACCTCCTGGACTCAAGCAATCCTCCTACCTCAGCACCCCCAAATAGCTGGGACTATAGGCACATGCCATGTCCAGTTAATTTTTTTATTTTTTGTAGATGTGAGGTCTACCTATGTTGCTCAGGCTGGTCTCAAACTCCTCGGCCCAAGCGATGCTCCTACCTTGGCCTCCCAAAGCTCTGGGATTACAAGCATGACCTACTGTGCCCAAACAATGTGTTTTTCGATAGTGAATTAACAATAACATCAAAGGGCAGGGCACAGTGGCTGATGCCTGTAATTCCAGCACTTTGGGAGGCCAACGTGGGTGGATCACCTGAGCTTAGGAGTTCGAGACCAGCCTGACCAACATGGTGAAATCCCGTCTCTACTAAATACAAAAAATTAGCCAGGCATGGTAGCACATGCCTATAATCCCAGATACTTGGAAGGCTAAGGCAGGAGAATCGCTTGAACCCAGGAGGCGAAGGTTGCAGTGAGCTTGGGCAATAGGAGCAAACTCCCATCTCACCAAAAAAAAAAAAAAAAAAAGAATAACATCAATGAATTGTGGCTATTTGGTGTTTTAAGAATCACAGCTTGCACACAAAAAGGTAAAGATGTCTCCTCTTTTTTCCATTCTAGGTAACACTGAAATTACAAAAGACACAGAATCTCACTGTTTGAACTCTCCCAATTCCCTTATTCTTTATGGACTAATGTAACAAAATGATTAGTCATAGATAGAACACACGTTTGTCTTATGCAAGTAAAAGTAATCACTTGAGGGAGGGAACAAAAACTGCTTCTTATTTTTACGTTGTACCCTCATTTTGAATGATTCAAACCAAAATCTTAGAAGAAAAGACCCAGCTAAGATCTGTTCAGAGGTTTTCCCCTTTAAGTTAATAACAACCTACTTTGTTCAGGCTGGTCTCAAACTCCTGGGCCCAAGTGATCCTCCTGCACTGGCCTCCCAAAGTGCTGTGATTACAGGCAAGCACAAGCCACTGTACCCAGCCCTCTCTTTTTTTTCTTTTCTTTTTTTTTTAGACGGAGTCACACTCAGTCACCTAGGCTGGAGTACAGTGGTGTGATCTCAGCTTACTGCAACCTCCGCCTCCCGGGTTCAAGCAATTCTCTGCCTCAGTCTCTAAAGTAGCTGGGATTAAAGGCGCATGCCACCACACCTGGCTAATTTTTTGGTATTTTTAGTAGAGACAGGGTTTCACCATCTTAGCCAGGCTAAGTCTTGAACTCCTGACCTCGTGATCCACCCACCTCAGACTCCCAAAGTGCTGGCATTACAGACATGAGCCAGCATGCCCAGCCCTCTTTTTTATTTGCTCCTCTCCTACCTATCCCTTTGCCAGATCTTTGAGCAATGAATATAAATCTTCAATATAGTCCATGCAGTATTGTTCTTTTCCTGAAGAAAATGTGTACGTCTAGGCTGAGAAGGAAATGGGCAAGTCCCCTTGGATAGAGACCATTTCGCCTCCAAGGAATTACATAAAATAGGCTTTTTAAAAACTCTGACCATTTATTCATTCACTTATTCCAGAAATATTTGTTTCACTATTAAAAGCGAGGGATAGGACGGTAAGCATAAACAGACTCAGTTTCCGACTTTCTCAGACTCAAGGGTTAGTACAGAAGACAGATTCTAATAAATAATTGTACACTACGTAAACTTGCAACTGTGATGAGTGCTAAGGCTTTGTAAGCACAAAAAAGGGGAGTCCAGAAAGGCTTCAATGAGAAAGTGACAGCTGGAGCTCAGCACTCAAGAATGAGACAAAGAGGGAGAGCTGCAGGCAGAGAGAATGTCAGTGCCTGTTGAGAAATGAGCTCTGCAATTATGAAGCCCAAAAAGCCAGTGTGGCTGGCGGAGAGGGATCAGCAGAGTCTGGAGACACGGAGGGGTCAAATCCAGCAAACAATGTTAAGCAGCTTTCACTTACCGGTGAGCGATGGGAAACCCAGAAGGGTTTTAAACAAGGAGGTGATGATTTGGGTTTTCAGAAAGTTCAGATACAAGATCACATATGTAACTGGCACACACTCTCTAGTTAAACTCTTCTGGTCTGTCAGTCTAGGTCTGGACCCTATTCTTAACAGCACCAGAAAGGTAATCCGTTCAAATGGATGATTTGATTATTTGGTATAACAGGAAGACTAGAGGATTGGGAGTCAAGTCTCCTGGGCCTTTATCTGTTCGGTAACACTGATCTTGTCATACATTTCTCTACCCCCATTTCCTCATTTGTGAAATGAAAAGGTGAATGCTAGGACCACTCATCCCTGCTGGCTCTGATTAGAAGGGAAAAAAGAC